TTCCAGATGTTCCAGACTCCCTTCCAGGATCCAGCTGTGCCAGAACTGTGCTGGATTTGTGCACAAATCCCAATCCCAGATCCCAACCAGAAGGAAAAAGCTTTCCCCTCTTCTCCCTCAAAATTTCATCTTCCCCTCAGCAAACACCAGTAGGAATTTAAAGCTGCCCAAATCACTTCAAATCATTTCATTCAAGCCCAAACAAACTAGGAAGAGAAGCAGGCCCCAACACATCCTTACCTTTTCCTTGTGCTCCCTTCCAGCCAAGGAAAGCAGTACAGCCCCTGGCAGCAGCACAGGCTCCTGGTGACAGAGCTGGGCTATTTGTGAGCTCCTAAAGCTTTAATTAATGAGCCACAATTTGAAGATGGCCAATGAGAACAATCCTGCTGAGCTTTAATCTCCCCTCGAGGTTCCTCCTCCACTCTCTGCTCTCTTGGCTGGCAAAGCTGCATCCAACACCCCCAAAAGGCTGAGGGGTGCCAGCCCTTGCTGGTCTGGAATCATGGAGAACAGCAAGGCTGTCCCTGCAGTCACCAAAGGCTCAGGGATTTTGTCTGTGTGGAAGCCTGGAATGGTTTCTGTTGGAAGGGACCTCCTGATTCCAAACCCCTGCCATGGACAAGGACAATTTCCACTAGACCAGGCTGCTCCAAGCTCCATCCAACCTGGAACACTTCCAGGCACTTTCCTTCTGCAGGAACATGCCTCTTCCTCTGGATCAAATGCACAGCTTCATCTCAGGTCCAGGACCACAAAGGCAACAGGAAAACTCCTTCTCCTGCTCACAGACCCAAACCACTTCCACAGTGGGACCCTCTCCTTTACTTCACTCCCTTTTCTTTCCCCAAAATACTCCTAACTAAGAGAAAACACACCTGGGTTGGGATCACGTCTCACTTCTTTCAAAACAGCTAAAAATAAACCTAAAGACTTGCAGGTGTTTCCTCCTGCGTCCCTCCTGAATCCCTTCTCTTGCTGGAGATCTGCAGAGGAAAACAGAGGGAACAAAAGCCATTTCCACTCCCAGATAATGGAGCTGGGCCCTCACACAAGGAAAGATGGCAAACTGGGAATTTCATAGAATTCCAGAAAAGTTTGGTTGGAAGTGATCTTAAAGCTCATCTCATTCCACCCCTGCTGTGGGCAGGGACACCTCCCACCATCCCAGGTTGCTCCAAGCCCTGTCCAGCCTGGCCTTGGGCACTTCCAGGGATGGAGCATCCCTGGACAATCCCAGGATGTCCCTGCCCTCATTCCCTGCTCCCCCATTCCTGCCAAACAGCTCCTCCCCCCACAGGTAAAGCAACAAACGAACCCCAAAACCCCAGATCTGGTGGATGTGGGGCTTTTCTCTCTCTCCTGTTTGGTTCCAGGAATGCATCGGTGAATCACATTTCCAAGCTGCCTGCAGCAGGAGTGTCACAAGGATGTGTTTATTTTAGGCAGAAGCTCAGATTTTTTCCCCCTGTTTTGTCAGATTTTGGCATTTTCAGAGCAGCCAATCTGCAAATATCCAGAACAGAGGGTTTCCTAAAAATGGGTTGGGATCCAGCCTAATCCACCAAAACCACTGCAGATGCTTGATCAGCAAGAAAACAGCCCAACAAATTATCAATATTAATTATCTCCCACACCTGGGACTGAGGACAAAGAGCCACATAAACCCCTCTGGGCTGCAAAAAGAGGAGGTGGTCACAGGAGGATGTCCCCAAGGCAAGGAATGGTTCCTGGTCTGCTTGTGCTGTTAATGCACCCTGGATAATGCACCTCATAGGTGGCAACACAAGCAGGGAAGCAAAGGACAGACATCACAAGAGTTAAACAAATTAAAACTGATTAGCAGAGAGGCTTTACAGGGAAGGCAAAGCTCCCTTATGAAGAAGAAAAGAAGATTAAAGCACAGTTTCCCTGGAGCCTTGAGAAAGGTCTCCTAGATTAGGATTATAATCCCACCCCCTATTTTTAGCGGGTTTGTTATAAAGGTGCCACCCCCACCTTTCTAAGATTTGGGGCAGGTTCCAAAAAAGGAGAGAGCTCCTGCTGTGACAGACAGGGAATTACCTGCAGCACAGGAACAGGGAGGTTCCAACCTTCCCCATCCTGGGATTCTGTGAGGAGGGAAGCATCCCACAGCAGTACAGGGCTGGAACCTTTTTCCTGGAAATAATTACCTAAAAAGCACTAATTAGCCTCTCCACTGGCTGCACTCCTGGCTTGCAGGGAGCAGTGATGCTGCAGATGGAACACAAACCACTTGCTCAAGGTGACTGCAGAAATCAGAGAGGTCCAAACCAGTTATATCCCAGACCATGTCCTCCTGTAAACCAGACCAGTTTAACCCACCAGTAGGATAAAACCAGTTTACCCACCTGGGAAAACCTCTACAGAGGTGAAGCTCACACAGGTGTGGTTTTGCCATCCACTTGCCCACATGTGTTTGTTTTTGGATACCTGAAGGATGCTTATCCCTAAACCTCTCTTACCTCACCATACCGCACAGTGCCCACAAACCTCACCTGATTCCACATCCCTGTTTGGCTTATCCAAGCAGGGACACCTTGGAGCCACCCTGGAGCAGCTCAGCGATGGGGACCCAATGTGGATGTTGGGAAGGGGACACAGCCAGCCCAGGGACAGCCTTGTGGGGCTGTGACCTGTCCCAACCCCCTCAGTCATCCCATATGGATAACACAGGACATGCAGGATGCAGCGGATCAGAGGGAGCTCAGCCTCCCCGGGGCCGGGTGTCAGCCCTCTCATCCAGGGGGTCCCGTGGGGGATCAGCACCCCCAGGTCGGCACCTCAGTGTCCCAGGACACCCCAGCCGAGGGACTGAGGAGCCCCATGAGGCACTCAACAGCTGGGGCCAGCTGGGACCCCTTAGCTCAGGGCTCCCATGAGGGGCTGAGGGCCCTCAGTGCAGGACCCTGTGACCCGCTGAGCATCCTTGGGCCTGCTGGAGCCCCCCAGCCCAAGGCCTTCGTGAGGGGCTGCGCACCACAAAGCCAGCCAGAACTCCTCAATCCCCGAGAGGGGCTGAGCACCCCGGGACCCCTCAGCAGGGGAGCCCCGCGAGGAGCTCGGCACCCCAGGGCAGGTTGGGTCCCCTCAGCCAAGGGCCCTTGTAAAGGGCTGAGAACCCCGGAGCCGGCCAGGACTCCTCATTCCAGGCCCCCCGTGAGGGGCTGAACGCCCCGAGGCCCCTCAGCCGAGGACCCCCGTGAGTGACCGAGCTCCTTGGGCTGGTTAGACCCCCTCTGTCCACAGCCCTCGGGAGGGTTTCGGCACCCCGCGGCCGGCTGTGCCGCTCAGCATGCGGTCCCCGTGAGGGTGTGAGCCCCGCGCCCCAGCCCCGCTCACCCGCCCGGGCGATCCCCGCCCCGCGCATCCGCCCGAGGATCATGAGGGGACGG